GGGGCACAGGATGGGGAGGGAGCCGTTACCTGCGATGCTGAGCACCAGCGCTCGGCTGACGATGGGGACCGGCAGCTCCAGGGGAACCCAGCTCCAGGGGAACCAGTCTGGAGAGAAACCCAGCTCCAGGGGAACCAGTCTGGAGAGAAACCCAGCTCCAGGGGAACCCAGCTCCGGGGGAACCCAGCTCCGGGGGAACCCAGCTCCAGAGGAACCAGTTTGGAGAGGAACCCAGCTCCCAGTAGCACTCCCTGCTGGACTGGACACAGGGCACCTCTCCCAGCCCCGCTGCAGAGGACGGGACGTGCAGCAGCAAAGGGGTCAGGACGTGGCAATTTTCATTACCCCGGGATCCCAGGGTTTCGCTAATGACCAAATGAGCTGCAATTTCCTTGGATTTGAAGTCTTTCTACTAAACACCACCCAATGAAGCCATAAACCCTTGTGATTCTGGGCTCAGCTCTGCTCCCCAGGGTGCCCAGAGCCCCCCTGGGACCCCTAAAGCCACCCCAGAGCTCCCCAGGACCTCCAGAGACCCCCACGACCCCCAGCGCAGGGGCAAGCAGGACAGGGCAGAACTGGAGGTCAGGAAGCAAACAGGAAAGCCCAAACCAGATTACCCAAAGGACTGCAGCACACACGTACCTAAATATTAGGTAGAGAGGCTTCCCCACTGACTCCTCCAGAGACCTGTGGGACAGACGCAGCGGTCAGAGCTCTGCGTGCACCCACGCCGTGGATCCCCAGCAATGGCAGGGGAAAAGCCCTGGTCCCCATCCACCGTGGCCCTTGGGCCATCAAGGGCTGGGGGGACCAAAACGGCCCCACAGAGCCCGGCAGCTCTGAGCGAGCCCTGGTTCTGCAGAACCCAGGAGGAGGAGCGCACAGAGCTGGTTTGGGTCGGTACAGCAGGGGCGGGTGGAGGATTTTGGACCTCTGGAGCCAGCAGAGCATCACCTAAAGCGAGCTGTGACGTGAGGAGCTGCAGCAGCTTCACTCTGCACTTGCAAAGAGGAAAACGAGGTCTCTTTCGAGCCCTGGATGTGAAAACTGCTGAGCAGCTCCTCGCTGACCCTGCGAACCCTGCACTGCTTCACAGGGAAAGCTGCTGGCTTCAGCACAGCCTTCTGAAAACGGTGATGGCTCTGCTGGGAAAAGCACCGGTCCCAGCGCGAAAGCATGAGGCGCACAAAATAAATAAACCCTCACTCCTCTGTGATTTCTTCTGGCAAAACCTCGCCACGGAAGTGAGCCTTAAATAGCTCCTGGAGGCAGGACGCCAGCACCGATAGCTGCTCCGAGTCGAAGTCCTCCTGATGGAGAGAAAAAGGATGAGAGGAGGGAGGGAGGGAAGAGGAAAGGGACGAGAGGGGGAGGAAGGGGATGAGAGGAGGAAGCCTGAGCTCAGTCCCTGCTGCAGGGAATGGACCCCAGGCTGCGCAGGAGCCGTTTTGCTGCTGTATTGCAGCGCCAGGAGCTCATCATCAGCCTGAGAAACCCCTCATTGGTGTCCAGACTTCTCCTCTAATGGCTCAGTAACTCACTGAGCAAAGGGCTAACTGGGACCCAACACGGATTTTCACCCCAACAAGTCCTTTCCCTGTGTTCCCTGTGTTTTTAGCTCTTCAAGCTAAAAGGCCACTTGACCCCAAAGGGAGGAGATCAGAGGCAGGGGATGCAACCTCCCTTGGATGCTCAGCTCCTGGGCAGGGCTCCCTGGAGCCTGCGCTGAGCACGGAGCAGGGGAGCACCCACAGAGCAGGGGAGCACCCATAGAGCAGGGGAGCACCCCATGGAAAAGCCTCCTGAGCTCTGCAGCCGCAGCAGCAGCCACACGGGGTCAAAACGTGAGCGTACCTCACCCTGGGGTGACAAATATTGGGGGACACCTCACCCTGACAGCAAATATTGGGGACACTGAGGCACAGGGTGTATGGAAGCATGGACAGAGCAGAGCGATCCTCCCCTGCCAGCCAGCAGCAGCGTGGGGCTGTGTTTAACCACAGACAGGGGTGCATTTTGGACCCGTTTAGGATTCAGGTGTTCCCTGCGCCCCTCGTTTCGGCAGCGCTGGGAGCTGCCCAAGCCCACTCCTGCTCCAGCGGCTCTGGTTTTGCTGTTAAGCAGCGGCGCTGCCCCGGGTCTGCGCCGTTACCTCCAGGACTTGATCCACGATTTCCTGCATGACCTCACACTGCGCTTCCGTGTCGCTGCAGCACAAAAACAAGAGGAAATCCAAGTTACATAGGAAGATACTGAGAGCAGGGACAAGGGGGCTTTGTGCTGAGCTCGGGAGCCCCCCAGGACCTGAAGGGGGGAGGCTCTGCTTTGTGCCAGGCTTAGGGGAAGGCAAAGACTCAGCCCCAAAAACACCACTGCAGCACCCACATCCAACAGCACCCGAGGTTGTCTGCAGCAGGACAAACAAATTAAATGACTAAAAGCATAAAGATTAAATGCACTTAGAGCCATAAAGCCATAAATCACGTTAAATCAGTCCGCTGCGCCAAGGTCTGCAAAGCAAGAGCTTTCTTTAGATGGAGCCGATCCCAAGGACGCTGCAATCAGGAGCGGTGCTGGGGGAGCGCAGACAGCGGGCAGACACAGGTATCTGCGCCTGTGTCCACAGGGAACACCTCCCATGCAGGGATGCACCAAAAACCCCGAGCGGGAACAGCCCCAGAGGCCTTTGCGCCCCCTCCTCAACCCCACAGCGGAGTGGGGCGAACCCTGGAGCCTTTTGCCTTTGTCTGAGCCCCAGCAAACGCCGCGGTGTCCTGGTCTGAGCCTGCTTTAACTACACGGCTCAACCCAGCCCCTTCCCAAACCACCCAGACACAGAAAAGGAGCAGCAGGACCTGTCCTTGCTAAAGGGAGAGGAGCCAGGACATCGCCTTAGCTCTGAGAAGGGCTCTGGAGCAGGCAGCGTTGCACAGCAGCTCTCGTGTGTCATCAACAGGAGCAAACGGCACCGACCTGCCCTTCTGCAGCTGCAGCACTTTATCCTTCAGCGACTCGTCCAGCTGGTCCAGGAACGGGGTGATATCAACGGGCTCCTCCACAAAGGCCTCTTTGATGGGGTGGAACCTGAACTCGCACTTCTTCCCTGCAGCAGAGAAAGCAAGACTGGAACACTCCACTCTCCCAGGCTATGTCGAAGAGGTACCAGAGGGGATCTCTGTCCTGGCAGTGGGAGTTGAGGGGGCTGTGACCACCCCAGGACCTGCAGCGTGCTCTGAACATGCAGTCCGGCCTCAGATCTTGCCTTTACCCTTTGGAGAAGTGTCCAGGCCACAGCAAGCAAAGGCAGGATGGGATCTGAATGTGGGGGATGTCCAGAACTGTGGTTCCCGTTCAGCCCAGCCCCTACACCTGATGCTTTGCCTGTCCTTCAGCTCAGTGAGTGAGTCTCTACACCCGAATCACAACGCTCGTGTTCAGGATGCTGGGACTGGGATGAGACACCCCTACGGCTTTTCCACACCCTGGTCCTCCAGGCCACAAAACTGAGCTGCAGCAGAGCCCAGAAGCACCAGAGGTGCTCACAGGGAAGACACAACGGGATGGGACAAGGTGGCTGATGCCCTTTGCAATGGTTTTCAAGCCTGTGACCCTCTTGGGCACCCCAAGCAGCTGCCAGGGCACTGACAGGGCTATAGGGGACAGCGCTACAGCCCCGTGTCACGTCCTGACCCCCATCCCCGCTGCAGGGCAGCCCCCCAGCACGGCAGGACCCCCACAGGAGTCCTACAGCAAGGCCAGGAACAGCCTGAGGTGCCTCAGAGAGCCAGCAGAGGGGATTTTGGCCTGGTGCAGGCTCAGGAGGGGGTGAATGTAATGAGAACCATGAGGGTGAACAATTAAAGGCCTGAGAGCGGAGACGCGCTGCTCCCAAACAAACCATGGGGCACAGCATCTGTCACAGGGATTCCCAACAGCGCAGAGGGGATTGAACCTCTGAGAGAGGACACTTGGGGGGAGAGAGCCCCACGTTCAAAGGGTCCAACCCCTAGGGAACAAGCAGGCAGTGGATGAAGTCAAATGGCCTTTCCCTGTGGGCACGGATCTGTATCCAACGACAGAATTTGGCTGCCAGGGACAGGGAAGCAGCAGAGCATCGGCCTCAACGCCTCTTGCAGAAGGAAGCCTGGATGGCAAGGAAGGGGTCTGAGCACAGCAACCCCCAGCACTCGTAGGAGAGGGGCGTCGAGGGAACTGCGCTTACAGATGCTCCCAGGGTGCTCCATCGCGAGGGGAAGGTGCCCGCGGGGCAGCACCGTCCAGGGCAAACAGCAGCTACGCATGTGGAGGCGACGCCGAAGCCGCGACGAGGGGAGCGCAGCTGCCTGCACCCCTCACCTTTGCTGTTCAAGTCGTCTTCGTCGTCGCTGAAGGCGGCCTCGGCATTGTCATAGCAACCGTCATCCTTCTCCGACATGTGGTTGTCCATCTCCATGGAAACGGGCTCCTCGATCTTGACTGCAGGAAGGAAGACGGGGTCAGCGCAGAGCTGGGGTCAGCGCAGAGCTGGGGTCACCGTGGCCCTGCTGGGCAGGGACGGTGCTGCCCGGGTCACCCCAAACCCACAGCCATGGTCAGGGGTGGCGTGGGGGGAGATAAAAGTGCTCTGCAAAGGGGGAAAAATGAGCCTGGGCGAGCGACGGGCACTGGAAACTCGTGCAGGGGAAGGCAACTCCCAGTAAACCCATCAAACCATCCCCGCTGGGTGCCAAGTGGGGCAGCACCAGGGCATTTTCCAGCCGAGCTGCCCAGTATCCTCCGTGCTCCATCGCTCGCCCAGGTCCCTGAGCAGAGGAATGGCTTTGGGAGCCCCTGCAGCCGGAGGCGCTGATGCCACAGGAGAAGCAGACGGGTTTTTACAGCAGGTCTGGCAAAGCAGCAGCGCTCTGCTGGTAAATACAGGTTAGAAACGCTCAATCTTTGTTTAACCTAATTACGTTAATCAATTAGGTTTTCTCCTCTGCCTACAGAGAAGGGTAAGGAGCTCCCACAGAGCAGAGAGAAGAACGGGCAGGGCGCATCTCCAGTGTGCAACAGGGCTGAGATGAAGGGAGCCCATGATCACCCATAAATGTGAGCACCCAGAGCTCTCCCTGAGTCCCAATGCTCCAAACGGCTCCGTTCCTGCAGGAGCGTGGGGAAAGCAGCACCACCACAGCACCACCACGGCACCACCATGGCCCCAGTGCCCGCTCCCTACCTTCGATGGGGGGCGAGGGCGAGCTGCAGAACTCGGGGAACTTCTCCCGCAGCATGGCACGCAGCTCCTTGTCCAGCTTGGGGTTGTCGAAGAGCGGGGCCAGGTGTCTGTGGAGGGAGGGAGAGGAAGGGATGAGGAAGAGCTGGGACACCTCGGGGGACGGGCAGGGGGACCTCCCTTGCATCAGGGCTTTGGTTTAGGTTATGGACCACAGCTACGAGGTCCCTTCCTGTGGCTGAGCAGGGGATCCTGTGCTTTGAAGGGGCACAGGAAGGGGGGAAGAGGCTTTACCCAGAGAGGGGAACCTGGCTGAGGCAGGAGCTGTGTGCAGGCCACAGCACCAGGAGCAACGCTGCTCCCTCCAGAAGGGGCTGGGGACAGCTCTGTGCGCCTGGAACCTCCTTAACCCACCCATTCCCTTCTTGAAGGACCAGGTCTGGCACCATAACGGCACAGCTATGGCTCCTCCACGGCTCAACACAGCACAAATGCCCTCCACAGCAATTATGGAGCCTGGAGGTCGCTTTGAACGGGCTGGGGAGGCCCGGGAAGGCTGGGGAGTTGTCTAAACGTAGTAAGATTTGGGCTGCCTTACGCGAGGACTCGCTTCTCCACGATGTGGGTGAGGGAGTTGAAGACGCCTTGCCGGACGTGAGCCTCCAGCGGGGGGTAGAAGTTGGGGATGATCTGCAAACACGAGAAGGACCTTGTTAATGCCAGGAACCCCTCGTGTCAGCAGCAGGACACGGCCAGGAGCAGCTTCCAGGGTCACCCTCGCCTGCAGCACATCCCAGCTGCTCTTGCCCAGGGAGGGCAGCACTTTGGGACGATGGACAGAAGGGGGACCAGCCCACGCCCCTGGCTTTTCCACTGCGGAGATGCAGCCGCTGGATCCCTCAGAGATGAGGAAAACACCCAGACGCTGCCCTGGGAGCTGTGAGAAGCCCTGGGGGTCACCAGAGCCATGGTCCAAGCAGCAGCCACCGATGCAGGACCAGGGGAACAGGAGAAGGACACCGTGAGCAACACCCAAGTCTGTCCACACAAACTGGAGGAAGCAAGGCAGCTCCTCCCTGAAATCTGGCTCATCCCGGGAACCTTCCACCCATTTCCTCTGCCAGAAAGCAGCTGCTTTTGTGGACGGGAGCGTGGAGGGAGGAAAGCGATGCAGCTCAGAGCAGCGCTCGTGCCACGAACAACCAGCGCTGCTTCCAGGAAACCATCGGCTCCCCGGGACCACGTTACTGGAACCAGCGGCTCCTGGCATGGGCTTGGCCTGCCTGAGGCGGGCACCCTTTGAGGAGGAGATGTCCCCCACTGTCCCCCTTGCCCCCTGCTGCAGTGAGGCTCTGTGCGCCTGCAGGGGATGACGCTGGGCCCAGCGTTTCACGGGGTCCCACAGGGAACAATTCAGAGGCTTTTTTCTGAGCAACGCTCATCACTCTGCAGGAATTCGGTTGCGGAGCCTCGCACGCTCCCATGGAGGGACCACACACGGGCCCAGCTCCAGAACAGCCCTGGATTTATCAGGAGGGCGCACGGCCTCGCCAGCGCCTCCGGGAGCTGTGTTTACGAGGCGGAGCGGCCGCAGCAGCGCGCTGCCCTGTCTGTGCTGTCGGGACCGCAGCACGGGGAGAACTCCTCCTAATCCAGCAGGGAGGCGAGGGCTGCGGCAGACCCCCAGCTGCTCTGCTGGCCCTTTCGCAACGCAGGGGCTGGGGGCAGAGCAGACCCGGCAGTGCACTGAGGAATGTGGGAAAAACGAGGGGGGAAACAGCGTTTTTGTGTGGTTTTCTCTGTCGAACAGGCAGTGAGGGGACACTTTGGCTGCTCAGGCATCGCCGGTCACAGGGATGGATGATTCCTGCAGGATGGAGCAGCGACATGCCTCTGCCCAAAACCCTGGGGACTGAACACATCTGCATTGCCTGAGCCTGTGTCACCCGTGTGGACCCCAGCGAGGGCTTCCACAGCTCCCAGCACTCGACCCCCATCACGAAATGCCCCAGGGAAGCCCCCCGAGGCGCGAGGCTCACCCGGCACATGAAGTCCAGCAGCGTGGCGGTGATGGCGGGGTGAGGCTTCATGGAGTGATGCATCACCAGGATGGCAGGCTCTGCAGGGAGAGAAGGGGAGCCCTGCGCTGAGAGCCCTCGGGACCCCTGCGCCCCCCTCATCCCCAGCTTCTGCTTCTGGGGTGCAAAGGGAACCCCGTCTTTTGGCTCCCAAACCCTTTGCTTCTAAACAACACCGAGGCTTCCAACAGCGGCCAGAATCAGCTCCCCCCCAGTGCAAAGGTCACGACAGCACAGCTCCCCTGCAAACCCCAGGAGTTTAATGCAGGAGAGGGAGCTGATGCTTTTTGGGGATACTTTGCTGGGTTTCTCCACCAGATCCCACTGCCTCCACCAGCTCTGGAAGCCACAAACCCCTCACCCACGCAGAGGAAGACCCCCGTGCAGTACCTATGTTCATGATGCTGTCCTTCTCGGGGCTGAAGAAGAGCCAGTCGTAGAACAGGGCCAGTTTGGCATTCGAAGCAGCAACGTTGGACTAGAGGTTCAAAACAAAACACAAAATGATCTGATTAATCCGAGCACCCGTCCCCTCTGCACGCCCAATGGGGCTCCCAGCTCCCCACAGCTCCAGCAGCAGCAGGGAGGGGATCCCGGGCGCTGCTGGGTCCCGTTTTCAGGGTCCTGCCGTCGCCACTCACCGTGCAGGTGGTGAGCAGCCAGCCGATGATGGCCCAGCGCGGGAGGATGTCAGAGCTCAGCACCTCGTTGGAGGGGTGCACCACGCCGCAGATGTAGCGGATGAGGTCGCAGCGCAGGGACTGGCTGTCCGGGGTGGACAGGTACTGCCGCTGAAACCAGTCCTGGTACCGCTTCTGCTGCCCAAACCGCACCTGACAGGAGGACACGAGACCGCTGGGACCAGCGCCCACCACCCTCAAAGCCGCCTCTTTCACACAATCACAGAGTCGCTCGGTTGGA